CCCCCCCCCCCCCCCCCCCCCCCCACCCAAATTCAATAAAAATACGCAAAAGTCATTAAAGATAGCTATAAATTGCTAAAATGTTAATAAAAATATTGAAAAAGCGTTAAAAATAGCTATAAATTGCGGGATTTTCTATAAAATATAAGCAAAATGGTTAAATACAGCTATAAATTAGTAGAATTTTAATAAAAATAAGCAAAAATAGTTAAAAATAGCCATAAATTACTACAAATTTAATAAAAAAAATAACGAAAATGGCTATAAATTGCAGGAACTTTTATGAAAATAATGACAAATCGCTAAAAATAGCTATATACTGCCGCGAATTTAATATAAATAACCAAAAATTGTCAAAAATAGCTATAAATTAACTAAATTTGAGCAAAAAAAGAAGACAAAGCGCTTAAACATGATCAGATATTTCGATGTGAACATACGTGAGTTTCACATTTTTAGCCCCAACGGGGCTGCGCTGATAAGCTTTTTTAGTTACTAAACTTGACAATCAAAAAATCCAAAAGACTAGACACTTTTGGGCAGAGCAGGGCAACTCAGCAGAAAAAAGCCAATTAATTCAATTCAATTCGTGAAAAAAACTTTTGAATTGAATTCAACTCAATTCACGTCCACTAAAAATTTTCCAGAATTCAACTCAGCTCAATTCAATTCAGTCATACTAAAAAGTTGTACTCAATTCAATTCAACTAGGTTAATGAATGGAATTGAGTTAAATTGAGTTCGTCATTTTTCGAACTGAGTTGTCCATTTCTGGTTTTGGGGCTGAGCCCCATCACCCTTAAATTTCTGGTTACGCCACTAGTATGAAAAAAAATAATAATATCACTTTGTTAATACGAGAGAAAAATGAATTTCTTAAATGATCATGACGTTTAAAACATCCTGTATGCCGTATCATGTCTATATGATTGAAATAAAGAAATATCTCTTCATGCGCAAAAATATCTGGAAATAGTATTGAACAAATTTAGTTCATTTCAAGAATAATCTCAACGTATCTTCTACTAATGACAGTAGTTCTCAGTACCACAGCAAGATTGACGAATTTCTTCCTGTTTCGTACCATGTACCAAATAATAAAACAGAAATAAGTCATGCATAGTTTTATTTTGTCAGTAAAAATCAGACTCATGGATTTAGTGTACAATATATTCTTCAGTAGACTCATTTACAATTAAATATTGATTGTTTGCTTTATGAATCAAATATTCTTGAGTTGATCGGTCTTTTCTCTTTAATTTTTTCTCTAGATAACATACGAGTTTTAACCTTAAATATGTTTACACTTAAATAGCATAGCAACTAAAAAAGATCATTTTGTCTAATGATACACAAGAGTTATTCACTCATTACAAAATGAGACGTTACTTAGTAACTCATAGGACAAAAATTCTGACTTTTTTTTTCTTAGGTTGATGAAATAAAAAAAATATAGACTACACTGAAAATGAGAGAGAAAATGAGAGTCTTTCTCTTTTAATAAATACTTGACATTTTCTTCAAAGTTAGATTCATTTCATTCATTGAAAGAGTTGTTGAAAATGATGCCAAGAAAAGTTTCTTTATTACTTTTATTTATGTGTATTACGCAAGCAATTTCAGAAGATATGCGATCAGCAAAAATGTCTTTAATGAA